ACATGTTCTAATACCATATAAATGCATGAGGTTTTAGCAAATTATTATCTCATATGAATTACCATTGATTATGTGTGATTAATTATTAAGAAGGTGAAAAGGTTTGGGGGTTTCAAATTCATGAGGTTTTAGCAAATTATTGTGGGGGTATCAAATGCATGACAATCAAGGAAAAATGCAAGGTTTATAAGTATGTAAGATTATGAACGGAGGAAACCCAAACCAAACCGCATATATGTATATATGCGTTCTGTGAGATAAGAACAAAAATAGAAGTTTGGTCCAGAGGTTAAGTTTTTAGACCTCCAACCTAACATCCCATGTTCGAATCTTATGTCCGCATATATCTCAACTTTTATTTTGAAAGCTAAGTCGCATACACAACTGATTTCTTAAACTCTCACTTTGTCACGTCCCACATTGCCCATGAGACTAAACTGACGCCCAATTCACCTCTTATAAAAGAGAGGTTAGCTTCATTTCTTAAATCTCAATTTATTAGAGTTCCACATTGAAGTTGGGGTCAAACTCAAGTAAATATCTTTCTCTATATAATTAAGCATTTGGTTTTGGCTTAGTCCAAACAAAAATCCAGAAATCTGTAGGCGCAAATTTAACAATCAAGTTGATATGGACTCTTATCGCAAGTTATTTAACTAGTTCATTATGAATTATGATGTGATTGGATGGGAAAAATACATCTCAAAGTTGAACATGATGTTGAAAACTATTAAGAACATGTCAAAAGCCCTCATAATACCAATGAAGAGGGAAGGGAATGTGAAGAAGAAGTCGAATGGAAAAGGAAAAGGCAAGGTTTTGTTCCTGTAAAGGTTTCCACTCAATCTAAGAAGGAAAACCCTACAAAAGATGTAGGATGTTATCATCGAGAATATCTATATGATAGCATTTTACACTTCTTCAAGATTTTAGAGTATTTTGAATTAACATCTTTTTATATACATGGATTGAGAAAAGTTAGAGATTGCAAAAAGGCGAATTGAAAGCTATGATCGAATATGATCAAGTTGTCTTATTGTATATTTTGGAATTATTTTCGTTTTTCATTTTCAAACAACATGGTTGTGAACTTGTTCTTGATTATGGAAGTTTAGTCATAAAGCTTATGTTATTTCAATGTTGTCCCTTTCGATTTTTTCCATTGTTATAGTATTATGATGTTAATGTGCATAATGAAGTTTCAAATGTACTTTTATGTATTATCAAAAGATTTAAGTTTGACTTGAAGTGAACATATATGTGACATTGTCTTCCTAGTCACATAACCATGAAATACTTTTAAAAAAACTCAAATCAAAAGAAATTTAGAATCTCTTCTCTGAGTCATGTGATTGATGTGGACTTCTTATAGAACTGTATGTAACGCCCGTAGATTCGGGCTAGTCAATTTAAAGATAATAAGCGTTAACAATGACTTTTTGATAGAAGATTCTTTAGAATAAATAATCTTAACCAAAGTTATAGTATATATCACAAGGGTTTCGTACATATAAAGAACATTGAAATCCAACTTATAACAAAGAAGTTATGATCTGTCAAAGTTTCGTAATTAAACCGGCACAGCTCCGTGTATCATAAAAAGTAATTTTTTGATAAATTACTTTTCAGCTTTAGTGACCTAAATGAAAGTCATAGTAGATGTTAAACCGAGAACGTTCAAATCTGACTTCATTTGAGCAAGTTGTGATTTGTCTAAAATTCAGCATAGCAGTGTATAGCTCGGAAATCGAATTTTAGATCGATCAATTATTAGCCGACACAATCAAAACGAGAATTGAAGATCTCGTTTATAGGAGCTCAAAAATATAAAGATAGTCGGAAAATGGCATCGAATGACAAAGTTATGAATTTTTAATGGACTTTAACTGTCTAAGACTGTTAAAATATATCTTTAAAGGAAAAACTAGCCGACGGAATCTAAACAAAAGTTGTAGATCTCATTGATAGCTACGCGTGGATATAAAGAACGTAAAAAACGAAGCTTGTATGCGAAAGTTACAATTTTACAACATATATAATTTTCGAATTAACAAGAGTGCAACACATGTCGCGATCTGGTACACACCTTCCTCCCCAAGGCTTGCGATATGATGTTAACATGTGGCCTCCAATACGCCCTGTGTAAGTTGAGTGCACCCTGCATAATGGACCACTTGCAGCCTATAACTAGAGGCTAGATTTCACTCTTTTCTTTATATATTTCCATCACTTCTCTTCCAAAATCCTCCCAAGGTCCCAAGACCTCTCTCTAGCACTTCCTAAGTGTTAATAGTGAAGCTCCAGAGCGCCAGAAAGCCCCGAGAAACAGTGCTTTCAGTTTAGAAGTTTTGCCCACGTAGAGTCCAGTTTCTCGCTAAATCATCTACAAATTGAGTCATGATTACCGTACTTTAAGTATAGCTTATGTTTAAGTTAATGATTGTTATGATGAACCTATAAACAAGATTTATCAGTAACTCCAAGTCGTTATACTGATTGATCTACTTACGGGAGAGGTGTCTAGATTGGTCATGTTGGCTTGGTTGTTGGATTTCAGAAAAATTATACGCCGAACTGATCCTGCCTCCCAACTATCACGCCTAGTTGATCCTTACTTGATAGATCTTGAAGTGGACTTTGAATTAATGATGAATATAGACTAATATTTAGTCGCAATAAATATTAGACTAAGAGTTAGTGATAATGATACTAGGTTACATCAATGGAAAAGACAGTTGCTAGAAGCAAAGAATTATCCGAATTTCGAATTGTCACTTTAACAAGTAAGTGCATGGTTGCTTTCATCTTAAACATAGAAATGAAGTATTTAATATAAATACATGTTATATGTGCCTAATATCTATGCTTTTGATACCTATGTTGAATGAACGATTTATACATGTTTTACTTGGTTTAAACTGCATATGTATTTTTATACCTATAAATATATTTGAAAAAGATGGGTAGATGAAAAATGATATAGATGATGAGAGATGAAAGATGATATAGATGATGAGTGATGCAAGATGAAATAGGTGATGAGAGGTATTGACTTTAAAGATGATGTCATCTAGCAGAATATAGATGACAACCACAGATTATTCTAGACAATCCAGCAGAACGCTAGCAGGCTCATGTGTTCATCAAATGTACTCTAAAACACATTGACATATATTTTGGGTGGACTCTCTAAAACAATGTTGTCAATAAAGAAGATAAACTCTAGCAGCTATGAACTTAGTATCTATTAGATAAACACGGGCAGCTATGGACTTAGTGCCTAAAAGATAACATTAGCAGCTATGGACTTAATGGCTATTAGATAAACCCTGTCAACAATGGATTTTGTGCTTATTTCTTAGGACAAATCCTTAGGAATAAATATGAAAGAATACCTACTAACAAGTATCATGGAGGAATCCCTGAACTAGTGCTGCCAACATAGATGATCATTAAGGTAGATCCTTATAAATAAAGAATATAATGAGGATGAGAAATTGACCGTCATTAGGTGTCCACTCTAACCCACCGCTTCCTTGCATTGTGGAGGGTCGTCAGCCGAACGAGTTTGATAAGACATAACCTCTAAAAGTATGATACTATAAAGTAAAAAATATCCCAACTCTAGTTACTTTAGGAAAAAAATAAAATGTATGTTAATCCATAAAAACGCACATCGTTTCTTTAGGAAGCTTCATAGACCTCTTGGACTAGAAAAGTTAGGATCTTTTGCCTACCCATTAAGTCTAGCAAGTTGTAGGGTTATTTAAGTCATTTTTTAGTAATAAAGTTTAGATCTTGCTTGAATAGAGTATCTTAATAGGTAAGGTTGGAAACTTTATCCATTAAGACATTGTTAATGACAAAATTTAGAAGTTTGGGGTTTTAACTTAATGGATTAAGTCATTTGACCTTGTGAAGAAGGTTTAGATGTGGCACGTCCTTCCCTGGTGCGACGTGCTTTTCAAGGGTTTTCTAAAGCGCATCTGTCTTAGCCTAAGATCCTGACTATTTTGTCTTTTAGTGAGCACGAAGCATCCTTTATAAGGTGCATGGTGGGTGTTTGACCAGATGTTGACTTTTTAACTTGTTTACTAAGTTTGACATTGGGTCAAACTTTAGGGTTTTAGGTCATAAACTAAGGATTGACCTTTTATTTAATGTTTAGGTGGTTTGTAGTACCAATCTTTACATTTCCTGCGAGGTGTGATGATTACATTTTATATGTATGGTTAGTTTTCTCATTATACTATGTTGGACATGGGGTGTCATTGTATGCTCATTATATAAGTGGCGAACAGTCTCTCTCAAAGTACATGTATTTGCAAAATCTTGAAACGACTTAAGATGCAAAACTCCATGGGATAATGACTTAAAAGGGTAAGGAACTTTCAACTTTGTTCATAATTAGTTGCTAAACTTTTTTGTGTGCTTGATTCACCCCTGAAGTATTTAAAATCGCTCAAATTTGACCCTTATAGTCGGTTACGACCGGTCATAAGGATAAAATATGAACATTTTCAAATAACTTAGGGGTAAATTAAACACGAAAAAAAGTTCAATGACTAAACATGAACAAAATTGAAAGTTCGTTACCTTTTCAACTCATATCCATATCTATAATCATCATTTTGTTTATTTTGCCTATTGCCATCAATTACTTAGATTAATCCTAGTCTATGAGATAAACTTAGAGTTTCTTTATTCATTCCATGATTTACGTTTCTATTTGTAATTACAATTTTATGGATTATAATGTGACATCCTTTATTCAACCATATATAACAATAATATAATGAAATTTATTAAGAAGTCCTAAAATGGATATGTTAGACTAAGTTTAGTACAGGATATTACATTATTTATATTAAAATGTACCTAATTGTATTTCTCTAGTATTATATATACAGGATCATATGTAATCTTTTACTCAATAATAAAATAACGATTTATTTTGGTATCAAAGCCAAGTACCCTAACCCTATGGCTCAATCTAAAACTCATCGTCGATCATCTTCGACGAAAGCAATACCTACACGGCCTAAACCATAATCACTATATTTTCTAAGAGATCTCATGGCAACCATAGCTGCCTTCACCTATCAAAAGAAAACATCCCATAATTCTCACAAATCCGCTTTCACCCTCTCACCCACAAACTGTGGGAATTGGAAGTTTATGATTGAACCCTTTCTTGTCTCTAACAACCTGTTTGGTTATGTTAATGGTTCTATACCATGCCCAAAGCCAAAAGTCAAAGTGAAGAAACAATCACAAACAACCCTAGCTATTCTCATTAGATAGCTAATGATCCTCATGTTCGCATGATCATTATATCCACCATATCAAAGGCTTTTCTCAACACGCAAAGAACTCTATCACGAGATCTGTGGCTTGCATTGAACATGTGTTACACACCAAATGATGCCTCCGGACAGTACACACTGAAAACTCAACTACTGAAAATCACCATGTAAGGGATGAAACCATTTCAAGTCATTAACCCAAACTCCACATAAGGAGCCATAGCAATGCAACATGCAATTATATCGTGAAGTCTCAGTACCCTCTCACGCTTGGTTAGGTAAGATTCATGAATGGAAATTTGTTGCATTCTTAAAAGAACTTTATGTTTCTTTATTTTCTTATGAAATTTTGAATCAAGTCACAATTAAAAAGTTAGGCTTCCAACTATTAATAATAATAACGAATGTGAGAAAACCTATGACTAGGCTTTCATCACCAATTATAAGGTCCAGGCCTTTTTTTTAAAAGGTTGGATATTAGTTAATCAGTAGGTCAGGATTAAAAAAAATAATCGGTTAAATAGTAATCAAAAGAATAATTGGGTATCATTATTTATTTAGAAACTAATATATTTTAAGAAAATAAGTATTTAAAATTTGAAATCTTGAGATTTTGAAATTTTAAAAAATTTAATGTAATCTTTTAAAATTTGAAACTTTGAAATTTTGAAAACTTTGATGTAATATTTGAAAATTTTAAAATTCCAGCCGCCTAGGACTGATATTGACCAAGACCGCCTAGCACTAATCGTAGACGAGTCGAGGCCGCCTAGCACCTAAGGACCGGGCGGATGTTTACAACACTGTTTTTCCCAAAAAAAAAATAGTAACTAGAATTTTTAACCAGTAATTAAAAATATATATATATATATTTACAAACAGTTTTTTTTAATACATACTAAAAAGTCTAGTTATTCAATAATTTTTAACCATAATTTATAAAACCGGATACTAAAAAATTCAGAACCAATCCTAATTTTTATAATAACAATGAATCAAGTTCAAATCAATCAAGAAATTATTTGCATACACTTTGTTGAAGCTTTCAATATGAGATAAATGGCAAAAAATCATGCCACAAACATACGATATTAGAATTACCTATTATAGTATGCAAAAGATAATAGTATTACATATTTTTGTAATAAAAAATCTGATATCTTTATAATACATACATAACTTATTTGGAAAAATTTATAGGAGGTTCCAAGGAACTTACCAGAATTGCAAGATCAATATCTTTATCCTCAAATTTCTTGATGAAGGGGTGACCCAAAAGCTCTAAAGCTGATGATCTGTCTTTAGGCTCTTTCTGTATGCTGCACATTTACATACAAATATATTATAAATTTGACAAAACAGTTTTTTATTTTCATAAACTATGATCATATTTAATATGTTAAGTTACCATGAAGAGATAAAGGAACAAAACTCCGGCGAAAACTGATCCGATGGGGCGGCAGGTGGCGGCTTTGAGACAATGGCATCCAGAAGCTCATAAAAAGTTGGCCAATTTTGTTGATCTTCAGATTGTATATATGGAAATCTTCCTATAGCACACTCCAATATCACTAGACCCAAACTCCATATGTCACTTTTATAGTCATATGTCTTCCCACTAATTCTTTCCGGCTTAAGAATATAAACATTTAATATCATGAACAAGATTTTAAATTGGTAAACATTAAGAAAGGTATGAAAAAGTCAACTTACAGACATATAGTTATATGTTCCAACAAATGTATCACGTTGACCCATTGAACTAGCAAGCATTGCACTAACACCAAAATCTGTGATCTTTACTTGACCTATTTGGTTTACAAGTAGATTAGATGGCTTTATGTCCCTATGAATTACATGTCTCTCATGGTGTAAATACACAAGACCCTGTAATACCTGTCATAAACACTACATTCATCATATATAGATCAATAGAAGTTATAGAACAGAGTTTTTCTCTGACATAAAAAGGTAGGACATGGAGTTGCTATTAATATGTTCTGTGTAAGGTGTAAAGTGTTAAAAGATTCACTAACCTGTTTGCAGAGAACAGCAAGATATGGTTCAAGAATGGTCTTGAGTTGTCTGATGACATCAGTTAAAGATCCACGATCCATGTATTCAAAAACCAAAGAGATGGCTCCATTGTGGTAGAAAGAGTGATAACAGACGACGATGTGAGGGCATTGAGATGCTTGATTGATTTTCAGCTCTTGCACGATTTGTTTGCGTATATCTTCTTGAATGTTCATCTGGATTACCTGTCGCCATAATTGATGCGCTTAAAAGGTGTAGCTTATACGGAAGGCGTTTATTCAAACACTGAAAACAAATGGAAAGTAATCTGAGTTTTATGGAATCCAACCTTCAAAGCAAACAATCTACCAATCCATTTATGTCGAACCAGTTGAACTATGCCTCCACTTCCTTTTCCGATGACTTTGATGGTCTCGAGGTCTTCCAGTGAAAATTGGAGGTCGATCTCCTTGGCGTCAGAGGGCTGTTCAAATACCAAAGTGAAATTGTGAAACTGAGTTTTGGGGAAGATCATAGAGGTAAGTTTCACTTCATGACAAATTATAGGAAATCAAAACTCGTAAATCAGATTTGGTTTAACAATGAGAAACTTACACGATTTTCCTTATCATCAGATGTGAGTCTTAGTCCTTTCAAATTTAGAAGTAAATCCCCATCATGAAATGTACCACTCGTTGTCCTAAGAATCCACTATAATCATCAGATATTACAAAGCTGTAACTACGTTTATTGAAATCAAATCAAAATTTTCACCAATTAGGGCTTTAAATGATATCAAAAGGAGATATCAGACGCTACAAACGCGTAACTACGTTCACATTCATTAGACCATAAATTCACAAATTAGGGCTTCACATGATCGGAACACAATTACAAATCAAATCAACGTAGAAACACCGTGGCTTGGTTCGAAATTGAAAAGGAGATCATATGCAAACTTACAAGAAGCTGGTAATTGGAGCATCTTGAGCGGGAACAGAGAGCTTGAGCTGCTTCAGTGACTTCATGCCCTTCATTGTTGTGAGTAGGATTAGGGTTTCTCACAACTGTGTGTGAAAGTGAAACGGATAGAAAATAGAAATTGGAATAGTTAAGCTGAGTAGCTGACCGACAGACGCCATTGAAAATAATAAACAAAATTCAAATAAAAATGACCGCCAAAAGTCATAAAAACTTCAAATACAAAGATTACGTTTTCCAAATTCACTCCCCAAAAAAATAAATGTTTATCAACTTGACCCCCCAAATTTAACCCTGTTTGTAAAATGACGTTTAAAATGAAAAGTGAGTTACAAATACAAGTTAGTTTATAGACTAAGTGTCTAGAGATGCACACGAAAACCGGATTGGCCCATAGGATCCGATCCAATCCGGAAACCGGATTTGGTCAAAACCGGTTTTGACCGAACCAATTTGGATTAAGTCGGTGACCGGATTGAAACTAGTTTGGTGCTTCGGACGGAATTTCAGATTCGACCCCGGATCGTAAACCGGATTTGACTGAAACTGGTTCCAAAACCGGATTGAAACCGGATTTTTTTTACCATTAAAAAACGGGCATTTTCATATATATTTTTTTCTAACCGTTTGAACCTTCAAAAAACGGCTAGTTTGATTTTTCTTGACTTTTTGGCCCTTCTAAACACATATAAATACATTGCATTTGCATTATACTTATATTTTCATAATACTCCAAAAAATGAGCTCGAGAAATTCTTCCGCGGGTCAAGATTCGGATGCAACAGTGGTTAAAATCATACCAACCACTCGGAGTAAAGAAGTGTGGGAACATTATAATCTGTGTTTGTTGTCAAACGGGAAGGAAAAAGCGAGACGCGAGAAGTGAGGGATGTTTTTGGGAAAAGATGGCAACAGTACATTGAGGAGTCGTACAACAAAAACTTGTTCGATTGTAAAAGGTCAAAGCGATCCGGATCAACTAAATATTACTCCTGACGGGGTGATCTTTATTTACAACAATGATGACATTCGTGAAATCTTTTGCACACTCGTAATTCAAGAGGGCTTGTCTTTCAACCACTTCGACAACCCACGATTAACTAGGATTTTGCGGGAAAAATACAATCACAATATCGACAAGTAAGTCGTACTTCTCTTAGACGTGATGCTTTAAAGTACTGGGATATAGCCAAAAAAAGATATGCAATTGAGATTTTTAAATATAAAAACCGATGTTTCTTTAACTTGTGATGTTTGGTCCTCCATCGGAACCCAAAAGTTATATTGTCGTCACGATACATTGGATAGATCCCTCTACTTGGGTAATGAACAAATGATTTTGTAGCACCTGGTTCTTGGTACGCATTTCTTTTTATTTTTATCTAAGTATTTTACATTTTTTGCCTTGGACTCGGCGAGTTCAAGGACCAACTCGCCGAGTAAAAGTTGGATGGGATGCGGGATTTAAGCGATGGACTCGACAAGTCGGGTCCCAGACTCGACGGGTAGACGTTGTCTGGACAAAAATCCTAATCCGAGGTTTTGCACCCTATTTAAGCAATGTTATGTCGACCACAATGTCCCTTATGCTCCCAAAACACCTCTCATTGAAACCCTAGCCTTTATTTAAGCAATCTAAGCCTTGTTGGTGGATTTTGGTGCTTGTGGTCTTAAGAAGGAAGGAGAAAAGCTTGAGGAAGCAAGTGGAGACCAAGGGAACCCAAGTTTGTGCACCTTTTACAGTTCATTGAAGGTAAAAAGTTCTCTAGGACGTTCTCGAGGTCTCTAACTTCCTTTTTCCCGCGTATCACATGGGTATGAATGCATGACACTCCTTTCGGAGAAAACTCTTGAGTTTTGATGCACGAAATGATACGAAGGTTGGAACCGAATTTATCTCCGTAGATCATGACGGTCTGACCAGAGAGGAGATTGGGACGGATGGAATTTTTTTTTAATGCAAGGGTATCAGCACAATTTTGACTCAATCCATTCCATGCCACAAATAACATCAAAATTATTTATGGAAACTAACATAAGATCAATGGATGAAGGATGGTCGTTCAGAGTAAGGGTACAACCTATGGATGTATCGATAAAGTTCTCTTTCCCACTGTTAGTCGTTTCAATGGTGAATGTTTCATTCACTAGTGGAGGGTTAAGATTAAGAAGATGTCTGAATGAATAGTTAACAGATTTTTCTTTTAGCACTAGAATTGAAAAGGATTGCAGGTGTAAGAGTTGTTGATGAGGAATATACCTAAGGCGACGGTGGAATCAGCGGCTGTCTCCTCTCGTCCTATTGCTAGAACTCTTCCGGTGTTTCCAGTCGTTGCTGCCTTAGGGCAATTTCGCTTAAAATGCCCGACTTCTCCGCAACCATAGCAAACCTGACCAATGCCCGCTCTGGAAGCTTGATTGGTTGATTGAGTTGGTGTCTTGCAATTTTTCGCAGTGTGACCCTTTTTGCCACAACTGTTGCAAAACACCTCTCGACATGGGCTGGAAGTGAGGTGATGATAGTTGCACTTGTCACAACTAGGGAGGGTTCCAGCATACCTACTGGTAGGTGTTCGATTTGAGGATCCAACAACAGAAACAGTTGCAGGGGTAGTAGCAGCGTGAACTGCCACCATTTGCTGCCTCTTCGAAGACTCCTGTGATGTCTGACTTTTCTTCTTCTTCCTAATTTTTCTTTTCTCGTCACTCCTCTCTGTCGGCTCAAGAGTGGTAGCTGCTTCCTTAAGGTCATCACTATGGTCGATTAAGGTTTGTGCTAAGCATTTGGCACCGTCGTATGTATCTGGCCTCGCAGCTATGGCGTTTCCCTTTGGTGGCTGGATCAGCCCCCAGATGAATCTCTTTATCTTCTTACTCTCCGGGGTAACCATTCCTGGGCAGAGTAGCGCCAAGTCATCGAACCTGGAAGTGTAAGCTGCAATATCGGAACCTTTCATCTTCAAGTTCTAGAGTTCGTGCTCTAATTTATGCATTTCGCCCCGAGGGCAGTACTCAGCCAGCAGAAGTTCCTTCATGGCTTCCCAACCCATGGCATTAGCTATAGGTAAAGTTAGGGATTTGACTCGGCCGTTCCACCAAGTCAGGGCTTTGTTGATGAAGGTGCAGGCGGCGAACTTCACCTTATCAGATTTTGAAAAAAGGCACAAATTTCAAAGATAGATTCAATTTTCTCGAACCATCGGGTAAGGGAAATGACACCTCCAGTGCCATCAAAGGACGTGGGTTTTTCGTTCATGAAATCTTTATAGGAACCCTCTTTTCAGTGTCCCCGACTGCCTTCTTGGTTTTGGCTTTGGGTACCACCTCCTGAACTACCGGGGTTCATTTGTGACATGGTGGCTGTCACTGCGGCAGTAACAGCTGCCTGAAGCGTTACAAGATCGATTTGAGGAGGAGGTGGTGGTGGCGGAGGGTTGTTGTTGTTCTTTGAACTGGGTCTCTTTCTTGGATGCATCTTGATCTAAAAAGATCAGGAAAGAGAGGATGGTAAGTTCTCTGAATTGAATCAAGAGATATGATGCAAGGGATATCTCATTATGACAGAGTATATAATTCTATTAAGCGATAAAGTAGGAAAGAGTTATCAAAGTAGATAAACTATCGCTAAAGGAATGATTGAGGAGCAACGCTGGGATAAGGATTTCTATAACGGATTTGGTTTGATAAATACTCCCATAGTATTTCATGTCTCGCTGCAACGACGGCTCATTGTTTGGGTATTAGGTAAGGTTTAGGCATGCTGAACATCACAGTCACTCCCAAGCACATGTTGGCCGTGTCTCGAATGAATATAGTTGGCCAAGATATATTGATCCTAGACACGACTACATAACTGCCTAGGTTTGACCGCAGCGTACAACACCCATTTACTTATGTTTTGTTCTACTTGTAGTTACGGATTTCGACGGTTAGGTATACTTGTATACTTTTGAAAATACTTATTTTTAAGGTATACTTTTACTTCAGAGCACTTAGGAACCTTTAATGTTTATAGTCTTATACCATGTAAGGTTTGGTATACTTAGTTCACTATAAACAAGGGCTCTAATACCAATCTGTCACATCCCGAAAACCAAGGCGGAAACATTTCCGGGGCAGACTCCACGTTGAGTATCAAATCCAATGCACATAGTAAGCAAAGTAAACAACCATTACATTACATATGAAAATTTACATTTGTTCAAAAGTAAAGTTGTACAAGTGTGATACATATGTATGTATATATATATATATATATATATATATATATATATATATGAACAAAAGTAAGATGTGTCTTCTACGTACTCCGTCTTCGATAAAAGGATCACCGGGTACCTGTCTAATGCGGACCTGAGAATACAAGCATTTTAAAAATCAGCATAAAGCTGGTGAGTTCATAAGCGGTTTTGTTTTCTGAAAATGAACAAGTTTCCTTCCGGTTTTCTGAAAAAGCTACGAACCCAAGAAAATCCCATATTTTCTTAAAAGTAAAGTTTAAATTACCCGTTTGTTATCCAGTTTGATTAAGAACAGTTTGTTATCTGATTTTTACACACTTCGATTAAGAACAAGTTCAGTTATCCCAGGAAAAACCCCTTATTTTCCTAAAATGTTTGTGAAGGGTTATCGAATCTGAAAGTGACGTACAAGTATCTACCATACTTAAAGTGTGTGTGTGAAGTTTCCTGAAAGTTTGGTTACCTTTAAATGTACATTAGTTTTGACACGTATATAAAACTAATAAGTAAGTACAAAGTTTTCATAATCTTGATTGCGAGTTCCATAACCATACTACAGACTAGATATGACTCGGAACGGGGCCAATATCTTTTATGACTTTTTTCACCCTTGAACCTTTCGGTTCGGCTGTAGCTAGCAGCCAGGTGCGGGATAGTCAATCCTGTATAGATCTATACACTCAAGTCACGCTCTCCCTTTCGGAGATTCTGGTTACAGGGATAGTCCTCCACTCTCGTATCTAGGGGAAGTGTTGCAAAGGACGTGTCTCCAATCTTAAGATTCATGAAATTTAAAATTGAAATTATTAATACAAAAACCCTGTTTTATTGGTTCTTTTCTCTCGTATCCAGGGGGACTACTAACTAGGACCTGACTAAGTTCTAATGATACCTGTTCTTCACACTCGTAT